CAATTCCCTTATATTTGAATATTTAATATGTACGGAAATAACATTGCATACATTTATTTTTTGTTTTTGTGCACACAACAAATCCATTAGATATGGTTACTAGCATGTGATAATGTTGATAATAGTAATGATGTTGGTAATCAGATGGAGAAAATACAGCATTAGAATCCTGCCCTGCAGTAAATTTAAAATAAACAAACAAAAGCAATAAATTGAAGGCAATGGCGAAGGATATAGCAAAAAAAGCGCAATATACATTAAAAATCAAACGAAATAAAATTAAACAAGGGGAAATCGAAAATTCAATCCCCATTACCATAGCCTACCCGGCTTACTCGCAACACCGATGGTGCTGCTGATGATGATAATGATGATGTTGCTGTTTTCATGTTAAACTAGATTAACATCAGTGGTTTGGGGGAGGCGTTGGTATGGTAATGGGCGTGAAAATTCCAAAATGTTTTTGTAACAAATGAAGTTGTGAAGTTGTTGGCTAATTTTTGATGTTTATTTATATTTGTTTATGGCCTGGTATTTGCCAATGAAGTTAAATGTTGTGAAACACACACAAAATATTGTCTTACCATTTGCCCGGATGCTTTTAAAATCTCTTTAATAATTTATGAAAGACAGATTTTTTCCTACTTTTTCAGTTTTTAAACTAACATAAATATATGTATATAATGATATAAGTACATTTGAGGTTATGGAATTATACATAGAGAAATACCAACACATATTCTTATACTTTCGACTATAGTATAAATAAGTATTATTTTAAATCAAGTTTTTAAGATTTTCATCACAAAACACGGTTGAGTAAACGAGAGGAAACGGAAATTATTAAGCAGTATCACGTCCGCTGGATATTCCCTGTACATTTACGTGCTACATTTCGTAAATGTGTAAATATATATTTAATCTCTAGACATGTTTAGAAAAGAGAAGTCCTAATTCTTTTGGGGGCTACTAAATCCTTTTGCAATAGTATATTTTACGGACATACGTTTTGAAACAAAATTCATCTTTGAAAATTGAGGGCAATAAACCCTTCACAAAACCCTCTAAATATGTCACTGGCAGAAAATACATACGGACATATGAAAGATAAATTTGGCTTTGATGTGCAGTACATGTGTAATATTCGTTCTATGATAAGTTCACTGCTCTCTCATAAAACCATACAACACATGTACACGTTCGCATCTTCATTCCATACTAGTCGTAAATTTTACCAAATTTTAGCTTAAAGCATTAAATTTTTACTGCTTAAATTTACTAATGAAAATTATAAACATAGAAAAATGTTCAACACACTTGCTGCCCAAATTGCTAGCCTCAGGATAAATTATCCTCCCCATGATGAAGACGAAATTTGAGTTTATGCATTCTGCTAATGATGCCAAAAGGTACCATTACCATACTGGATTTGTAAGGTAAAGGTAAAAAATAACTTTGCTACTAAAAAGCCACCACCAATGTCTGTCAGAATACATGGCTTCATTAACTGAGAAATTTTAGAAAGGGGAATCAATTTTTTACATAATTTTTGTTCAATTACATTGTATTAAAATATTATAAATAAAAGTTTATACTTTTAGTTATAAATCAACTTTTTATTAAAAGAATAGAGATACAGTTATGTTTTTTTACCTCATTAAAGACACATTTCATTTAAAGAAACATCAAGGAATATATTGTTTCAAAAATTACTAATAATTATATTATAACTTTCTATAAATATTTATATAAAATATGGTATGTATAAACACCATATTATAATTACAATATATTTAGTAATAAGTTATCACTCACTATATACAGTTATTTTTAATTTAGGTTGTGTAATGATCTTCGCCGGCGCTTTTCCCAATGCTGGGGTATACTAAGAGTATACCAAGGTTCAACACAAGAGCTAAAAATTTGACTGGTAGATTTTCAAAATAACACTTAAAAATGAAATCCAGTCATAAATAACATTATGATAAATTAAAGAATAGTCAGAAAGATGATATCATGTGATATTGAGCAAGAGTTATGGCACAAATATTGTTGAGTTTATTAGCGATAAGTAGTTATTTAACTCATTGACATATATTTACTTAGTTTAACTTGTTTAAGGTAAAACCAAACAATTCAAGTAATGCAATTCTGGGTAGAACTGCTGTAAAGTGTTGCGAACTGTCCAAGATACTAAAATAAACAAAGGGTTTAATATTTTCCAAATCTATTTTAAAATTTTCGCATTGAAAGTATGGAATATAAATTTTTCTTAACTAATCTAAAACTTTTCAAGGCTTTTAACAAAATTAATAAGTAAAATACACTATTTAAATTTAAATTAAAATTTACTTAAATAAGCAATTAAGCTTCTTCTAGTCTAGCCTCTTTCATTAATAATTTTTATATTAAAAATTATATCAAGCAATGTTGATTATAAGCGAAACTGATTTGCTCAAACTAATTTTCATTAAGATTATACATCTTTTACTGAAAATAAATTTTGTTTAGTGTTTTAAAGCATTATTTTAATGCTGTATTGCAACACCTTATCTATGAAACATTAAAAACTAATTATTAATAACACATGTTTAAACCAAGAAATGTGTACTTATTTTAAATTACGAACTTAGTCTATAAAAAAAGAGTAGATAGTTGTCTTCGTCTGACGCTGTTTTTTCTAACCGAGTGATCGATTTTCCTCTTCTCCTTCTGATAATTGTTTTATTTTACGTTATTCTGGGTCATCTTGTATTTTATTTTCTTTGTAGGTTCTATATCAGCACTGCGTGTGATATATCATTACTGGGTTTGCTATGCGTACTAGCTACCGGAATTAGAAATTATTTTATGCTATCGTTTTGAATAAGACTTGGCTATGTTATTCTTCATTAATTCCATTACTAATGATTCTTGGTCACCAGATTCTAATAGCAGTAACTTGGCACATGACTTAAAATTTTTATTTTTGTGACTGCATTTCTTTTTTTAATTAAATAATCCTGCTAATGTTAAAAGTTGTCAAAATTTAAAGTAAATTAGCTTTGAATATGTTGATATATTGTAAGTTTCTGTGATTATATACTCTAAATAAATTCTTCTAAATTCTGAAAATAAAAGTTTACAAAATACTTCTATTACTACAATGAATAAATTAACATCAAAATATTTCATTTAATAAATTTGAATTTTTAAATTATACTGTCAAACCAAAAGTTTCAAAAGACATTAAAATAAATTATTCCTCTTTGATGCAAATGAATAATTAAAATAAATTATTTTAAATAAATTTAATTAAATTACAGCCGCAAAATTTTAAATTTACAGTAGGGATTTTATATAAAAATAAAATAGAAAAAATATTTTATATGAATAAAAAGAAATAAAATATTGATCCATTCTAAAAGGCTTTGCCATTAAAAAAATATATTTAAAAAAAATATAAAAAAAAAGATATTAAAAAAAAAATATAAAAAAAACGCTTTACACTCAATTATTATCATCATCTCCATAAATTATCTTTAACTTTGATATAATAAACTTCCCATTCAAAAAATTTTGTTTCAATATAATGACAATTTCCGATTTCCATGCAATTATTTATTGGTAATTGGTATTGGTAGTATCCGCAATTTTTTTAAAGTATTATAAAATAAGGAAGGCTCCTTATTCTTTTCTGAAAACTGCTTAATATCTATTTAACATTCAATACTCATGTATTGTGGTTGTTAAAAAAAAATACACAATCCGTTTTACTTGAGATTTAGAACTCATCACAATAAAATCTTAAAAGGGAATCGAAGCATAGTTTCGAATTGTTAGCAAACGAAGTCCTACATCACTCAAGTATTTTGACTACTGGAAGTTGATTTGAAAGGAACAATTACAATGTTCACTTAAGATGGGCTAACTGGTACGTGAAGCCAGCATTCCTAAAAAGAAATTGCAAAAGCTAAAGTAAATCTCGTTGTTGGCATTGTTGTGCGTTAAGCCCGTAAAGGATTTACGGCTCAATTTATTCGTTATATGGCTGTCAGTCCACCCTAATTCTTTGCCATGAAAATACAAGAAAGTAAATACGGCAGAAGGAAAGGTTGCATGAATGAATGTGTAAGTTAAAGGGACCTCGTCGTAAAATCAAAAACAAAAGGCAAGTATAAAAAGTTCGATTTGACACAAAAGCAGAAAGCAGTTCAATTTAGCTCCGTTATGACCCTGGTACCAGTTCGCAGCTATTTGTCTGACGCCGCCGTCTGTGCGCGTGTATAAACTGCGGTTAATGTTGGGGGTGCCATAGCGTACAGTTCACCCGCTGTTTATGAAATCCTTGGTTAGTGACTGCTGTTCGTGCTGGTGCTTATTACGTCTGTGCTGCTGCTGGTGTCTCATTGGATGCATTTTTAGAATTTTTAAACATTTTTATCTTGACGTGTCGTTACTTTAAATTCCAGCAAAATCAGACTTCTGTTTCAATATTTAAATTATTCTTCTTCATTTGCTTTGGTATTAAAAGCATCTGTTAATAGTAGGCTTTGTATTGGATGTATGTGTCTGTACGAAATCAAAGGGGATTCCTGCGTCTATCTCGTACTGTTTCTGAACTGAAAGC